ATCATTTACAAGTCCGTGTTTGTTTTTCAACATGCAGATATTTTGCCTTAAAGGGAGGCTCATCTTTGGACCAGATGGTAGATCAATATTTCTGACTATATTCCTCATAGCTGCACCTGTTGCAGTATTTTGTGTCTTTGTAGCTAGAAAATTAATGGATGACTTTGCTGGCCACTGGGGAGTGTTAATTTTGGTTGTAGCTGTTCTCTTCACACTCTATGTAAGTCCTTGTTTTATTTTGGAGTACATTTTTTCTATTACAAACTTTGTAATCTTGGCTTACATAGTTACATACTTGGTAGCACATTTCTCTATCACTAGAGTTAATGCCTGTCATTACTAATGAAATGAAGTGAACATAGTTTTGTAGATAAGTGACCAAACTTTGAATTATAATTATGAATTTCACGGTATAATTCAGTTGATATATTATTAGTGCATGGGAAACTGTACAAATAGCTTAAGAAAGACTATCTCTGCTAAAGTTACATGGCAACCACCAACATCCATAAAAAAACGCCTCAAACATTTGGAAATGTTTGACAAGAAAGATAGTGACAAAGTGTTTTTATTGTTATTTGAAGAACTTTTATGCTTTTGAGTTTTGATGGTTACGAGTTTTGTGAGTTATTTCATGCACGGTCTTAAATCTAAGAGACCTCTATTTTGTGAAATGTGTTGAGCAAAAATCAACTTTATTGTGGAATTTTGAAGTATAACATTCTTCAAGGACTCAGGTTGAAATTTAAATTTAGGAGTGGATTAAATGGGCATGTTTTACATGATCTTTGTCACAACTGTTCAACTTAAAGTCATGCAACTAGTGACTAAACTTTCATGGAATAATTATCTTGAAACTGAAGGTCAGCTGTAATTAAAAAGATCAAATCTACAATTTTCACAAGACTTGTGTCATTTTCCTATATTGCTGTATTATGCATTATTCAACATAAAAATTCAAAGCTATTTCACTCAAGATGAATTGTTTGTGTATTACCTCCTCAGAAAAAAACTGCCCATGCAAATACAAGTTTGGCAGCCAAAAAGCAGCCGAAAGGGAAATCAAAATTTTTTATAACATTCTCTCGGACTTGTGTGAATATAGATAGCCTACATTGCATATAATTCTTAAATTGCCATTATCACAGTGATCAATGACCCAATCTCCTATTAGACAAATGCTTTTTTGATAATTAGAAGAAAAAGATACCGAAAGCCAAATAATCCGTTCTTGTATTCCCTCGGCTTCTAAAGAGGAATTGATGAAATCATATCTTCATCAGGAGAATCTTAACCAGTGATTTATTTGTTTGATTTCAAGGACTTGGTCCTCCTCCTGCTGACTTCATCAAGAGATCCTGGCATTGTTCCTCGCAATCTTAACCCCCCTGAGCCAGAAAACTTTGAAGGGAATGCACAAGCTGGACCTGGACAGACCCCACAATTACGTTTGCCACGTGTGAAGGATGTTGATGTTAATGGAATAACTGTGAAAGTCAAATACTGTGATACCTGCATGCTTTATAGACCCCCACGTTGCTCACATTGTTCAGTTTGCAATAACTGTGTGGAACGGTTTGATCATCATTGCCCTTGGGTCGGACAATGCATTGGATTGGTAAGTATGATGAAAATCAAAATCTTACCACTTTCCTATTGGGCGTTTGAAAATAGTCATGCTTTTTTTGCTTCACTTTCTCCACAACACATGACCATTTGCTCTCTTATAGAAACATATCTTCCAGATCTTTTTATTCCAGGTTTCTCTTCAATATCGTTTCTTTGAGACTTAAGGGTCTGTAACTCTGTTTAGATCCTAGAAAATGGTATGGAAAGAAAATAATGAGGAAAGTTAAAAGGATTAAAATTTTGAGGGAAATTGAAGGATAGATTCAAACTCAATTTATGAGGTTTAGATATTTTTTTAAACTCTATTTATGTCACATAAAGGCTAAGATATTTAAGTATATGATTTTTAAAAAAGGAAAATATTCGTAGTCATTACTCCATATCTTTTTCAATTCCCAGCCATAAAACCAAACATACGCAAAAAAACCTTCACAATTCTATTCCTTTCCTTTCCCTAACAGTTTCCGTGTTATAAACATATCCCAAATGTTAGATGCCAAATTGGACATATTCCTAATACTGGGTTGCGATGGAAAAATAAGGATTGTTAATAATTTCAAAGCACATTTGATGTTCAAATTTCAGTACTTACAATTGAATATTTTAGTTTTATGATGCACCGTTAAGGCTTATATTACCCCATTTGTCCCAAAATTTTAAATTTTAGTAAAGGAACAACTATTGGAAATCAACAACAACAACAAACCTAGTAAAATCCTACAAAAAGTGAGGGTGTGTGTACGCTGAGCTTACTCATACTCAAAATTTTAACTATATTTATGTATTTATTTATTGGTTTAGCTAAATCTAACTTGTTTTACACTCTTTTGTTCAACACTGGATATGATGAAAATTACTAGTTTTTGTTCAAATAAACTGTTTTTTTCCAACAAACACAAGTCTCCAAACATGATTTTTTTATGGGGTGGGGGAGTACTCGGAATATGCTAACATGTCTTCTCCTCTAACTTCATAAAATTTTGGTGCATTTGCAGAGGAATTATCGTTTCTTCTTTATGTTCGTTTTCTCGACAACTCTCATTTGCTTGTATGTGCATGCATTTTGCTGGGTCTATATTAGAAGGATTATGAATAGCGAAGAAACTTCCATCTGGAAAGCAATGTGCAAGACTCCAGCCTCAATTGTGCTCATCATTTATACTTTCATAACAGCTTGGTTTGTTGGTGGCCTTTCAGTATTCCATTTTTACCTTATCAGCACAAACCAGGTTCGGTCCTTCTCTCTCTCTCTCTCTCTCTCTCTCTCTCTCTCTCTCTCTCTCTCTCTTCATTGTGTATTAATTATATAGGCCTAGTTCGGTATTCCATTTTGTTCAAGTCGCAACACTTTTTAAAAGTAATAGAGTATTGTAGCTTGACACCCACAGTATTAAGACTACTAAAAAGACACAAAAGTTCTTTTAAACCACAACCCATACTTTTGGAAAAAATGTTAGATTTCAGCTAAATAGAAATACCACACCAGCTTGGTACCAAACTTGCTTGCATCCGCACCACTTTATATCATAAATTACCAAACAGACTTATTTTATCTCGCATTAGCTCATCACTTCACTTTTTACTCACATTTAATCACTTTTGTAAGAACAAAACAAAAATGGTGTCCATAAACAACAACAACAACAACAACAATAACCAAGTTGAAACCCACAAAAGTAGGCTCTGAGGAGGGTGTGTGCGCGCATATCTTACCCCTACTCAAAAGTAGAGAGTATTTTCAAAGAGACGCCCAGCTCAAGCACCACGGGTAATCACGCACAACCCGTATGTTTAAAACATAGAGCGGTTATTTTTGAATGATCTATGATGAGCGTCGAAAGTTGCATTCACTACCTGCTACTTCATTGTTGAAAGAAGCGCAGACAAAGCCATTTTAATTTATTCCATCATACCCAAAGCCAAAACATAGTGAATTCGTTCCGTGTATAGGTTTAAATAGTGAACGTTTCTTTTACTATGGTGTCCATAGTATAGGTTTAATCACAACTACTTCCGCCCTAGTGTATTTTTTTAGTTTGACTTTTCTAGCCAAACTGGACGAACATGGGACCACTACAACAACAACAAAGTCTTATCCCACTAGGTGGGGTTGGCTATATGGATCAAACGATGTCATTGCGCCCTATCTGAGATCATTCACGCAAAGGCCCCCCTTGACCACTTCATGCCAAGTCTTCTAAGGTCCACCTCTTCCTTTAGCCACATGTCTATTCACCATTTGATCAACCCTCACAGGATGCTCTATTGGTCTTCTCTCCATATGTCCAAACCACCTAAGACAAGTTTCCACCATCTTTTCTACAATTGGTATTACTCCAACTTAGGACCTCAATCAAAATAGGTGTAAATCCTGTAATGTATATTAGTATAAAAATATATTAGTATAAAAAATATTTCATTTGATTTATTTTGTTGAGAACTTTGAAAATTTTATTTTATTGTTGTAATATACAATATAAATTGAGAGTAATTGATGATTAAAGTTCGTCGAGTTTGACTTTTGAAAAAGTCAAACTGGACAAATACACTGGGACAGAGCGAGTACATTCAATAGGAGTTTTGACTTGTTGGTGGACTTTTGGCTGCAGTCAACCTATGAGAACTTTAGGAACCGGTACGATCAACGGATCAACCCATTCAACCAAGGAACGATCCAAAACATCATGGAGGTGTTCTGCACAAGCGTTCCTCCTTCAAAGAACAATTTCAGGGCAATGATTCAAAAAGAGGCCGAGATGCAACCTCGGGTAGTAGTAGGCGGTGGGGGCAGTTACAGTCCAAATTTGGGGAAAACGGCGAGCGAATTAGAAATGGGAAGGAAGCCGGTTTATGATGATGATGGTGGTGATCCCTTGAACAGCGGCGACTTGGAAGGGATACATAGTAGAAACGACGATTCTTTAGATAAAATCAACAAGCATTCATCAAGCATCTTAAACTCAACAAACTCTAGTTGGGGACGGAGAAGCCGGAGCTTGGATCTACTGCCTGACATTGCTGCGCTGGCATCTGAACTTGGGAGCTCGAATCACAAGAATGGTGGAGCTGCTATGCCATCTGGAAGACTGCTAACAACATAAAGCTTCTGGGAGAGAACATAAAGAAAAAAATGAAGAACGGAAACACAATGCAATTGAAACTCAGGGAGGTAATCTTCAAACCAAATGCCAAGTGGTGTGTATATCTATTTCATTTTTTAATCTTTTTCCATTATCTTCCTCTTTTTCTTTCTTTGATGAAATGTAGTACATATCATTAATCTTCAAAGTGTGATTAGCCCGGGAAAACCAAAAAAGGATATTTATTCTTATTTTACTCGTATATATACTATTAATATTGTATTACTGCAACATTTTCTTAGAGTATGTTGTTTCACTTTGTTATTTTGTCTACCTGATCCTGAACAGTGAACATCACACGGAGTAATAGTAATAATGAATGTACTCCCTCCGTCCCAAATTATTTGTCACATTTCTATTACCGAGGTAAAATATCAAGTTTTTTCAATTCATTTTATTTACATATTGGTAAATAAATAAAAAATAAAAATTACATATCAAAAAACTACATGAAAAGTTCTTCGAAATAAGAGGTGTAAAGAATATTTTATTTTATCAAATAACCAATGAAAACGTAGAAATAAACAAAAGTTCTCGCGACTATTGAAAAAGCAAATGTGACAAATAATTTGGGACGGAGGGAGTATTAATTTTTATTTTCTCTTTTTAATTGTCCGATAAAGGGTGTATTTGTTTGGATGGAGTTATAATGCAAGATTGATGATGGGGGGTAACGTGATGCTTATGATTGATTATCTTAGTATAGTCTTTATGTCCCAACCATTGGATTTTTAACGAATTGTTGTGTTGATTGACAAAAAAGGAATGGGCCCCATTCTCGATGCTCCCTCAGACTCGGGGCTCATTCCAAGCGCAGCTGTCAGGAATCGAATTTAGGTCTTACCCCCTTGGCATTCTGTGTCTTTGCCAACTGCGAAAACACCCACCGGTAATTGTAGAGTTGATTAACAATAGGATGTTTGGCATCTTCTCGTGTTAAAATAACACAAAGTTAAAAAAAAGACAGAATAACTGAATGGTTGAAGTTAATCAAGGAAACGAGAAACAATAGCTTGGATAAAATTTCCAAAAAGAAATACTCTATAAATTGTGAAATTTGTACTGAATAGGACTAAAACATAAGTTCTTTCTCAATGTAAAACTTAAACTTTTTTATTCCCTAAATAAGACTTAATAATGACTACTGAGAAGAATAATGTTCAAGTGATGCTGGACATTTAGTTGAATAATGACTAATTGATAATGACCAATAATCCTACATTGGGAAATAAAAACATATGATCCTATATTGAGAAAGTCATTATGTTCTAGTTCTAAAAAAACCCTAAATAGGAGTAAATCAATAAGCATATTTCTAAAATGGGAGTACCAAACTTATATACCTAAAGTAGGAGTTAAATTTAAATTAAATAAAAAACATGACATGTTGCACGCCTATATACTCATTCCAGTGGTGCCCCAATAAAAAAAATTGAGAAAAAATCATCATCCATTCAACCTATCTCTACGGACTCAGCTTCTTCGTTCCATTACAATCTCCACCGCCACCACTGTACCCAATTGCAGCGCCATCACCGTTGCCACCCTCACCCCTCACAGGCTCTCAGATTTGCCGTGCCGTCGCACCCCTCTCAAATCTACCCCGCTGCCCCACCCCTATTTCCCTCTCAAAGCTTTGACTTCAAGATTGAGCGGGTTCTCTCTCAATCTTTAAATAATTTATTTTCTTTAAATTTTGTTTGGATGCATTGGGATCGTAGTGTTGAAAAACGGGGTCCACCACTGTCAGGGGCGGTTGGTATTCGATCGCCATAAAGGTGGCTGTGAAAGTGGTGATGCTTGCCGAAAGTCGTACAGGGCATTGTGTTAGATTTGGCATTAATATGCATTTGTGTGACACTGTAGATTTGCATATATGACAATACATATGTACATTGGTGGCATTCTGCATCGTCATTTATGACATTATGTGGTGTCATAGTTGACATTATACTCCGTATCTTTTTTACACAGTATTTGGCAGTTAATGTCACACTGTAAAATTGAAATAGTGCCGGCAACAATGCTTGAGAGCAGTTGTGTTGTTCGGTCTTAATGATTGAAATATCATTTATTTTATCAACAATTAAATATAGTAATACATTAAAATCGGGTAAGAAATAAATTAAATCCCAACGTGAGCATTACGGTGAGATTAAATAATATATATTTCCGTGCATACTAGATTGCCTAAAGTAAAATATATACTCCCTCCATCCCTAAATATTTGCAATGTTTTCTTTTTTAGCGTCGCAGAACTTTTGTTTATTTCTACGTTTTCATTGGTTATTTGATAAAATTAAAATATTCTTGACACCTTTTATTTCGAAAAACTTTTCATGTACTTTTTTGATGTGTAAATTTTATTTTTTATTTCTATACCAATTTGTAAATAAAATGAATTTAAAAAAACTTGATATTTTGACTCGAAAATATAAGTGTAGCAAATATTTAGGGACGGAAGGAGGGAGTACAAAAGTATAGAGGTGGATGTAACTCATGTAAGTACCTTATTTTATTTGTTTGTGCATTATTTATACATGTATGCATGTATCCTTTAAAAAGATGCGTGTATACTAGGGAGATATTTTTGATGATCCTTTAATCCTTTATAATTGTGTGCTTCTTTTAAGGTTTGATTCTCAGTGAACTCAGAATCGGTAACTCACTGAACTGGGCCGGTACGGTGGTCGTATTTTTTAATATTAAACAACTTATTTGAAAAAAATAAAATCAACTGTTCATTTATAAAATTTTAATATTATTTTTTAATATGTAAATTTTATTTTTTAATTTAGTAAAATAACTCAAGTATATTAATATAATTTTAGTCAAATGTTATAAATTACTTTCTTTAGGTATTTATAAATGAAAATGTGTGTGTATGTGTCTATATGTGTGTTTAAACCTTCGACCGATGATCCAGTACCTTGACTGGTTCGGTCACCAGTCCGGTTCTAAAAACTATGTATAGTTGTCTTCCATCAGTCTCAATTTAAGTTATCCATTTTGATTTATGACGTTTGACTAAAAAATTTTCTAATTCAATTTATTTGAAAATTAGAATTAAAAAAGAAAAGTATAGTAAATATTTAAAACAATATTAAAAAATTCTACGAATCAAAAGGTGATATGATTATATTATTTTATCATATGATTAACAATAATAGTCAAAGAAAGTGGTTAAACTTTGACAACATTGTACACTTTTGCATTTGTCAAAAAACATAATTGCAATAATTAAGTAATAAATTATTATTTACTTTTCTTATTCTATATAATTCTTTATTCTACTTTTGTTAGGATTTTTCATGGCTTCATATCCATTGAATATTAACAAAAGTCCGGAAAAATCTCTGTCGCATGTTGGTCTATTACTTAAAAAATCATCTTTAGTCATGATCAATTTTACGTTGCTATTTTGAACGTGAAAAAATCGAAAAGGATTGAAGATATCGACTTGCATATAAGAATACAATTCTCTATATCATACTTGGAATGTTGTATTTAAAGACTTTTTTAAAAATTTATAATTATATTTAAATTGATCGTTCAAATATACTTTATACACTATACCAACTATTTAAATTAATTGTTAATTTAGTTATTTATTATCTTATCCCTCATTATAGGTTATTTCTATATTTATTACGTCCATATTTAACTAAAAAAATTTGTTATATATCGCACGGGTTAGAATCTAGTAGTGTTAAGCCCAAAAGGTTGTGAATTGGGAAGCCAAAGATGGGCTTGATATTTGGGTTAGGCATTGTCCTCAAGCCCGTAGTATGCCCGGGCCTCCGTTAAGTCTTTTTGCTGTGGGCTACTCCGTAATCTATATCTCTCTATTTCTGTAGAACTGACCTGTCTCTGCAAAAACCCCTTCGCCCCGAACCTCTCTGCCGCCGCCGCCGCCGCCGCAATGGATTCTTCTTCCACCTCCTCCCGCTCCTTTGATCCCAACCTTGCTCGAACCATTGAGGTAATAGCTTCATTTGTTCCTATCTGTGTGTGTTTATAACTTTATATTATATTCGTCTTTTTTTTAATTTTCTCGTCTATAATAATAATTATAGTAATAATAATAAGCTTATTATTATTACTATTATTATTGTTATCATGATTATTATTAATATTGAGTGTTATTGTTGATACCTCACTTTGATTAATTTCGAAAAACACTCAAAATGGCTATATTTACATCCAAAATGACTATATCCACAATTTTCACCTCAAATTTGCTAGATCCACACCAATATAAAATTACTTTTAATGAGTGTGGATTTAGCAAATCTAATAGAAAGGTGTGGATATAGTATTTTGGGTATGGATTTAACAACACCCTTTTGTGAAAGTATTATATTTGTGGTCTCTATATTTGAGAATAATTCCACAAGAAGTCCCCTTTGAGGACATGTGGTGAAATAGAACCACGTACATGTCCTCAAAGAAACTATTATGAAATAGTAATAGGACTGTATGTGGAAACACCCATGTAATAGGAAATCACTCCCTCACTTATAGGAGCATCATTAAGATTTCCGACTTGGAAATAAGAGTTCAGGTTTCGGGATTCTGTGGCTCATACATATTCCCAGTGATTGTGATTTTCAGTAGACATTTTTCATTCCTTTATGAGAGAGTATTGAATAACACTTCATTGTTAGGATGTGGAAAATTATTTTCTCAATTCTCTACACAAGAAAAGATCTTAGTGTACTCAATGCAATATAATTTTCTGAAGGAAAATAAACCGCGCCTAACAATCATACAGAATTGTTTTTATAAAAAAATCATATAATATTTACCAAACGCCACCTAAATTCATGATACATTTATTTTATAATGCCACAAGATCTTTTGACAACCTGAGTACATAATGGCTCATATTATGACATCGAGTGATTTCAAGAGACTCATGGTGCTCCGTTGGGAACAGGAACAGGTTCCTAACTCCCTACATTGTGCCTTTACCCTACTCCTGTACCCCCCCCCCCCCCCCATTTTGACATAGCCTAGCCCCCTTTCTTATCTCCTTGGCATGACCCCCACACCACCCCCTAAACCCATCACTGGGTTCCGGGCTCAATGAGACACAGTAAGGCCTCGAAATCACCAGGTTTCTTAAAATGACATCGGAAGTCAGTGCCAAAGAATTGCGCTGTTAGTATTAAATTTGAGTACATATGATCTAGTTTTATTTTTGTTTTGTACAAGTGTGAAAATAATCTTTAGAATGGGATTAAATTGGACTGAAGGATTATAATTCAGAACCGTACCATGTATGAGTTCAATATCTAGATTTACTTGCCCTAATCTGAGGTCTAAAGTTTACCATCAACACGATGCGGTGAAACTAAACCTTCACACTATGTTTGGTTCAAGAAATTATGAAGGAAAGGAAAAGAAAAATGTTTTTCTCCCCCTCTCGTCACCAAAATGGAAAGAATTTTGTTTTCTCATCTTAGTACATTTTGCCTTCTCATTTTATTTTCCTTCCACTTTTCTTTTCTTTTCCTCTCTAACCTAACAAGAAAAATAGTTTTCCATATCGTTTTCTTTTCTCTTTCCAAATTCCTTGAACCAAACATAGTGTTGAGGTCGAAGATGATCATAAATGCAATGTGTCCCAGGAAGAGAAGCAAAAGGCAATGTTGGCTGAGCTGATTACGAAGATCACAAGTTCGTGTTGGGACAAATGCATCACGGGCACTCCCGGGAGTAAGTTCAGCTCGAGCGAAGCAAGTTGCCTATCCAACTGCGCCCAACGCTACCTAGACATGAACATCTTGCTCATTAAGCGCTTCCAATCTATGAACAGGCTTTGAGTAGTTGATGTTGGCGTTGGCTCTCTCCATCTCTATTTTTGTGCTCTATGTTCACTTGTGCTCAAGTTTTGTACTGATAACTCCATCAACAGCTTCTGTCTTTTCATGACCTTATTTGAAAGCTATAAAGATTCTTACATGAGATGCTAATTTCATTTCCCTCACAGTAATTTGGACAGATTTTTTACCCACAGATCAGTCACGGGTAATGCTATTTGCACACCATTTTTACCCACAGATAAATACTTTTTTTTCCCATGAAGGACAAGTTTAATCTGTGCAATGTCCATGCAACCTTTCTTGCTCGGAAAAAATAGACAAAATTTGTCACTGTGAACAAAAATATTTGTATGTACGAATAGAAAATCGTTTATATATTTCCAGGTTTTCAACTTCTCCCGTTTGGTACACGGAATTCAAACTATGGAATTGGAATTGAGAACTTCAATTCCAATTTTGGAGTTTGGTAGCACAAAAACTATGTGGATTTAGAATTGGTAGTGCAAAAAATGAATTAGAATTGGTGAATTCGATTCTATGGAATTGAATCCTATGAAATTTTAATTTCAATTCAATTTCAATTCCATCAATTCCGTGTACCAAACGGACTCTTAAGGGGCCTAAATTTTTGGTGGACTTAGAGATGAAGGTGAAATAAATACAAAAAATGCATTTGATGTGAGGAGATCTACATAAAGTGGTGTAGATTTTAGGACAAACATTATTCTCTCTCATTTGCAAAAACTCAAAATTACACAATTTTACAATGAAAAGATTAATTTAAAAGAAAGTACTAATTATTTACCAATTAATCTCTCCACTTCCAAACAAGGTTGTTCCCTCATCTTCCTTTCCCTACTCCCCCCTCCCAAGTCCAACTAAGCTCCATTGCTCCCTCTGTGGTGTAGATTTTAGGACTACCAAAAAACACTTAATTTTTTTTTTGAAATCTAGCCAAGAATGAATTTTTGTTTTAAAATGAGCTATTATTGAGGATTTTATTTTGTGTTGGAAGATATTACGGAGATTAATGCAAAAATCTTAATCACAGAATTTTATATTTTCTTAAACTCTGTGAGAAAATAAATGAGATTTTTTTAACTGTAGTGTAATTATTTACCAATTAATCCATCTCTCCAAACAAGGTTGTTCCATCCTCTTCTTGTCCTTTAACTTCTCATTTGTTTTGATAAAGAGATTGAATGGTTAACATTATTGGTTCTTGCCTTTAAAAATTTCAATCACACAATTTTATTTTATTAAAAAAATTTATGTATTACTCCATGAAATCCACTATTTTACATTTTTACTTCCAAATTTAACAAATTAAATTGTTGCTCCAATAATTTATCTATTTTTATATAATCACTTCGCTCGGCAGGTAAGTTGTTATATCATATGCCAACATGAGTCGGTGGGCATTGCGCAATTGGCAAGACAACGAGTGACATAGGGGTAAACCCGAGTTCGATTCCTGACAACTGCGCTGGGAGACAACTATACTTAGCATAATATCTCTGCAAGTACATCTTTTTTTTCATATGTCAACATTTATTAATAAGCGGTGGCATGGCAAGTAAAATGTCATCTTCGTCCCAAAGAGTTCATTCCCTCCGACACTCTTTTACATCTACCAAAATTGTGAGTGGTATTTTTTGTTTTGGTTGCATAAAAATGAAATAAATGTATGAAGAATGAGATTGATTTTGAAGTTTTATCATTGGTGGGATGTTTGTTAAGAGATCTATTACACAGGAAAGGGAATGAACGATTAGGGAAGAAGACATGCATTTCATTTGCCATGTCAGTGCTTATTAGTCCATGTAGATAAATGATTTAGGTATTGATGTGGTTGAGGGAGAGATTATGTGAAAATATTTTTTTATTGTTGAAGCAAAGGTATAATTTCTTAAATTTGGGAGTAATGGTGTAAAATAGTGTATTTCCTAGAGTAATGGCTTGACTTTTCTTTTTTACTCCAGAATTTATTTTATTTAAACTTTGTGACTAAACAAATGAGAAGATTAATTTGAAACGAAAGAAATATTTTAAGTATTTACCAATTATTTCCCTGAACGTATCATTTCTTTTAATAAAAGCATTGAATTCTCATTTGCAAAAACTCACAATTACACAATTTTACAATGAAAAGATTAATTTAAAAGAAAGTACTAATTATTTACCAATTAATCTCTCCACTTCCAAACAAGGTTGTTCCCTCATCTTCCTTTCCCTACTCCCTCATCCCCCCCCCCCCCAAGTCCAACTAAGCTCCATTGCTTTCTCTGTGCTCAAGTTTTTGAGCATGTTCTCTAACATATTTTTATTATTTTTATTTATTTTTATCAGAATCAGATCAGAAATAACTTTAACTAGAATTAGATTCGATCATATCAGACTTTAATAAATTCTTCAAATCAGAACCAATCTGATCGGACAAAAAGAAAAAGCTCTTTGCCCGGAACACTTTGTGACCAAAGGGTGTGTATGGTCCATGTAACATTTTTGCGCTGGACATTGATCATACGAAAATTCCTTTTCATCGCCTTAATCCCAGCTATTTCGTTTTGGGGATGCGAAATGTACCTAGACAATTAACTATAAAAGAACAATTAGCACTAAGAGCTCACACAAAAAACATATGGAAAAATTATCCAAAATAATCTCAACTTTACCCGATCTTTCAAAAATAATCTCATCTTTCACTGTGATGCATAATAATCCCAACTTTATTGAAATTTGCCAGTTTTGGGTCGCCGTTAAGTTTCTAACGGAGGGTTAACGGAAATGCCTGTTTTAGGCAACAAAATGAAAGTTGGGATTATTTTTGATGAATTTTTGTTTTTAATTTTTTTTTTTGAAATTTTTATTTAAATTTTTTGAATTACTTTCAACCTCCATTTCTTTTTATTTTTTAAAGATTATTCTTACCTTAGAAAAAATAGATATAAAAATAATGAAAATGAGAAAAATAACTAAAACTATACAAAATTAATCAAAAAAATAATGTAATCAATATAAATTAAACAGAAACTGGTAAAAATAAAATAAATATATACGGAATGGTGGGTTTTAACATTTTATACGCTATACGGAGTTTTAATGTACTACTTATTTTTTAAAAGAACAAGCCATCCGGTAATGTTGGAATTATTGTAGATAATTTTTTCTAAAAAATAAGAAGTGATATGTTAAAACTTTGTATAATGCGTAAAATATTAAAACACACCCATATATTTTTATTTTACTTTTACCAATTTTAAGTTAGTTTCCATTGATTACCTTATTTATTTCATTATTTTTGTATCATTTTAGTTACATTTCTCATTTATTTCATTTTTATATCTATTATTTTTATTTTTTAAACTAAGATTAATCTTTAAAAAAGGAAAGAAATGATAATGGAGGTAGAAAGTAGTTTAAAAAATTTAAATGAAAAATTTAAAAAAAATAAAAAAAATGAAAATTCATCAAAAATAATCCCAACTTTCATTTTGTTGCCTAAAACAGGCATTTCCGTTAACCCTCCGTTAGAAACTTAACGGCGACCCAAAACTGGCAAATTTAAGTAAAGTTGGGATTATTATGCACCACAGTGAAAGGTGAGATTATTTTTAAAAGACCGGATAAAGTTGGGATTATTTTAGGTAATTTTTCTAAAACATATAAACAAAGACTAATGGCAGTGTCATTACCCTTGCTTCTCTTTTTTACAAAAGCAAATTCTGAGAAGCTTAAGTGACAAAAAGACACACATAACAGAATAGCAGATTAAAAGCAACAATACTAGTCCCTCCGTCCCGTGAAACATGGGACATTTGCTTTTTAGGAGGGATTTAAGGGAGTGTATTTTGGTATTGAATTTCCAAAAATGTCCTTTGATGTGATGGTAAAAGTATGATTTGATGGATAGATTATTAGTAAAAAGGTATGATGTGATAGTTAGGGTATGAAAAAATAAGGGGTAAAAATGACTTTTTAATAGAAATGAGAAGTGTTTTGTGGGACGGATACAAAAAGAAAGGGGAAATGTTTTACGGGCCGGAGGGAGTATTAATTTGTAGACCATAAAACTTCTCATCAATGAATGGTCCGTCCTCTTGCTTCAAGATTCCACTCCAATCGGGACCGAATAGCAAACACTCTTTTGGACATCGGTGGCCGGCTTGTGTCTTGATCCAGTTCAGATCGAGTCTTTCCCTGAGTGCACGGATGTGTTAGAGAGGGTGAGAACCGTCAATTTTACGGAAGAAGCATCGTAAGTGTCCAAAAACGCAGTGGCACCGTTCTCCGGTGTCACTAGAACCAAGCCGGATTCTATAAAACTTTAATTTTAAATTCAATTCCAATTCCATTAATTACTCCGTATTAATTAATTTCGTGTACCAAAGGCTACCTTTTTACTCAATTGCCCCAAATCTGATCATTAACGAGAAAAGTGAAAACCCATCGCTGATCGAATCCCTGTTTTACATTCCTCTTTCCGCTTGTCCTCAACGACCACCAGAATTCAGGTTCTTATTCGTATTCCCTCCCCACTGGAAGATAACCTAATCGCACTTCTGTGATTTTATATTGTGAACATTTATGATCTGTGCCTCTATCTTTCTTAATGGAGTTGTCATGTTTGCACGTCTGTTGATTCAGTCTATTAGGGCTGTTAAAGTTTGAGAAGAAGAAGGTATGACTGCTTTTATAGGCCGCAAAATGATTTCCATGGGCATTTCTGCTATGGTAAATATCTCTTCATTTGTCTTGCATACTCCCTCCGTCACACAATAAATTATACTGTATCTTTTATGGCCTCGTAACTTTTGTTTACTTGTGGTCATCTCTTATTTTGTAGAAATTTTGACGTAGTTGTTTAATACTTGTATTTTTAATTCTGTACCAGTTTGTAAATAAAATAAATTTAAAAGATACTGGGTTTTGCACGCGGTTCGAAGATTGCAATTCATTTTGGAATGGATGGAGTATTTTATTTCTTGATGCATGTGTGTGAATTATGCCGTGGTTGATGTTTCATTTTGTTACTTTGTTTCTAGAGTTTGAATCAGCCCCTGGTGAGAAGTAGGGTATTTGCATCCAGAGCTTACTCTTCTGCAGCAAAAGAGGTCATTTTTATTTATTCTCTTCGTACTTTTGGTGGTCCTCAATGCATGCATTCTGAAGTTTCATTAATGAAAACACTATTACAGATGACAGTGCGTGATGCTTTGAATTCAGCCATTGATGAAGAAATGTCTGCAGATCCCAAGGTCTTTTTAATGGGAGAAGAGGTAACCATCATTTTTCTTACCTTGTTTCTTTGTTTTCGTTTCTGCACCTTTCAATTTCATTCCTCTCTAGATGAGCTTGTCGTGGTTTATAACTGTTGTTCGTATATCTTGACACAGGTTGGGGAGTACCAGGGTGCATACAAGGTGTGAACTGTTCTCTTTACCCTTTTGTTTATCCTTCTGTACCCTTCCATATCAAAAGGGCTTTTGGATCACAGTTCTTTCATTTTTCTGGTGATTCTTTTTGAAGATCTCAAAAGGGCTTTTGGATAAATATGGTCCAGACAGGGTTCTTGATACACCTATTACTGAGGTTTCTCCTTGATTTTTGCTGCTACTTTCTGAATCTTCTGTTGATATATAAGTCATAAACTGTTTAATGTTTTTGCAGGCTGGGTTTGCAGGGATTGGAGTAGGTGCGGCTTACTATGGCCTGAAACCTATTGTGGAATTCATGACGTTTAACTTTTCAATGCAGGTTAAGCAGTTGTCCTTGTCTGTCATTTTCTATTTCCCTTATGAGAAAATGTTCATTAATAAATTCAAATGGTTAACCTTGTGTGACCGCGTGTTAGTTGATCCTGTGATCATGGTAATCTGGTCATCTTTGAGGTTATATTTCAAGATATATATTCAGAAAATCTTTGCAATGACACTGTGTATGGGGTATCCTTGTCAGGCAATTGATCATATAATCAATTCTGCTGCAAAGTCAAACTACATGTCTTCTGGACAAATATCTGTACCTATTGTTTTCAGAGGACCTAATGGAGCCGCAGCTGGTGTTGGTGCCCAACATTCCCAGGTATGACATTGACTTCATATTGTTTATCTTCTTTTCAAGCTCTATTGGCAATTGAAAAAGATCTTTAAATCCCCCAAGGATGGCTGTTAGTAGAGATGCCATTGCCCGATATGAAAGTTCAGTATGATTCAGGTTGGGTCTAATTGGGTTAAGTAATAAATGGACATATTTCCATTTATAAACTACGGAGTATATAAAGTATAAATTAACTGGTTAAGTGGAATGGGTCTTAAGTGGGTCATTATGCACCATTGGTACGCTAATAATACTGATATATATCTATTGACTGTTTCACATTCATAATTTATAAAAAATACGAGACATTCTAATCTTACCTTAGTGCCAGCATCTCATACGGAGTTTGAGTGGGATATAATGTGTATGTATGCTTTTTTGGGTTGGATCTCATACGGAGTGCTATTAGTCCTGACAGATTGGATATTATGTTTAGCTTCCCTCAGTGGTGTAAGCACACTTTTAATTTATTCGAATTGGAAAACCTTCAAACTTTTATTTTTAGGAAAATATTTTTATACTCCCTCAGTTCAAGCATAGAGGCACACTTTGACTTGACATGGAGATAACAAGAATTAAAATTGTGTTGTTGAAATTTATTTAGAGGAGAAATAAATATCAAACAACACAATTTTTTCCCTCGAAAGGAAATGTGAGATTCTTCTGGGACAGGCAAGGGAAAGCATGAAAACAATTTAGGGACAAGGGGAGTATATTGTTGTGTGACTGAAATTATTATTTTTCTAAATGAAAATTACATATTTATACAAGCATTTAAAAAATGTGAATAAAAATGTCAGCATATATCTAAGACGTGAATCTTTTGAAGTGCTATGCAGCGTGGTTTGCTGCATGCCCAGGATTGAAGGTCCTATCTCCATACTCTTCCGAAGATGCTCGTGGCCTTCTCAAAGCTGCTATTAGGGACCCTGATCCTGTCATTTTCCTTGAAAATGAATTGTTGTAAGTACCATAATTTGTTTTCCTTTCCGGAGAGTTTGATGTTCTTTTTTTTTCTTTTTGGTATTTTTTAATAATCAAGTATCTGTGCTCCAGATATGGCGAATCCTTCCCTGTTTCAGCTGAAGTTCTTGATTCTAGTTTTTGTGTTCCAATTGGGAAAGCTAAAGTAAGTACCCTCCTACACATCACAAATTATCTTCTTTCATCGGTATAACTGTATAATTAACTTTCTTTTACTTAAAACAACCATTTGACAGATTGAACGTGAAGGGAAAGATGTTACAATCACAACTTTCTCAAAAATGGTTGGCTATGCTCTCAAGGTTTGCCGTTCTTTTCCCAAGCTATATTTGGTATTGGACCCATGCATGTGTGTGTGTGGGTGGGGTGGGTGGGGGGGGGGAGGGGGAATTCAGTGTTTTGTCAAAGTTGCTAACTAGGCCAAATGGGGTTTTAACTTTTATAGGCTGCTGATGTTCTTGCGAAGGAAGGGATTAGCGCTGAGGTGCTCAAGAGTCCATATTACCCTTCTCATGGATTTAGGGGCTGTTTGTTTCAGCCTCTTAATGGTTCAGATGTCTGAATGATTCAGCACTTAATGATTCAGACTGTTTGTTTCAGCCTCTTAATGGTTCAGATGTCTGAATGGTTAAGAGATTTGCCTCTGAATGGTTAAGTATTATACAGAGTCTGAATGGTTAAGAGCTGTTATCTGAATTGATCAGACATTTGCCTCTGAATAGTTAAGCAATATACTAGCTCTTAATGGTTCAGACCTCTTACTGGTTCAGCACTTAATGATTCAGACCTCTTACTGGTTCAGCACTTACCCATTCAGAAGTTGCCAAACAGCCCCTTAATGATTTATAGTTAGAATGCACATTTTCATATTTTTAAATAACTTATATTTCAACTTAATGTTCTTCTGATTAGGTTATCAATTTGCGCTCAATCAGACCACTAGACAGATCTACCATCAATGATTCTGTCAGGAAAACCAACAGACTCGTAACTGTTGAGGAAGGGTTTCCTCAGCACGGTGTTGGCGCTGAGATCTGGTTACCCCCTGCCTCAATCAATCTTT